TTGCGTCGGGAGGTGGGTCCTCACCACACAACCCACACACCTTCCACACACACGCGCGCACACACACACACAGGCGGAGCCGCCCACATGCGCAGTACTCTGTGAGCAGCACTCCCTTGGCCCCCAGGATGGAGCAGCCGAAGAAAGACACCACGTGCGGGTGGCGCAGCGCCTGCAGCCGCAGCGCCTCCTGCAAGGGGCCGGCGTGGTGGCGGCACGGCGGTACCTGTGCAGTACGTAGGGGGGGGGCAGGTGCAGTACACAGGCGGAGGAGGTGCGGGGCAGCGATGCGGCGGCAGTGCGAAGGGGGAGCGGCGAGCGGCGGCGGGTGTTGGCGCGCCGGCTGACCGTACCGCGCCAACTGCCCACTGCAGTGTGCACAGCGGCGGCTAGCCCGGGGCAGGCCCCCAGCCCCAGTGGACAGACCCCCTCGCAGCTTCCCAGATCCTTCCTTGCATTTCAAAAAAGGAGAGCCTCGCAAGCAAGCCAGAATGCACACCTCACCGTCACAAACACGTTTTGGAGCTCTGCCGACTGACCGACGTCAACGACCTGGAGAGCAGTACATGTGTGCAGTACGGCTGCGGTACCGATGCAGGCGCTGGGCGGGTGCAGCACAGGGCGCCGAGGCACGGGTGCGGCGGGCAGCACGAGGCAGGGAGCCTGGGGAGTGTGCCGCAAGTTCCTGCGCGGGACATTGCACGACCGCAAACCCACGCAAGGCAAGCAGCGACTGCCAGCGGGCAGGAAGAAAGGACGGGCGCCCACCTTGGCGGCCACCACCTCGCCTCGGTACACCGCCTTGCACACGCAGCCGCTGCAGGCAGGCGCAGGGCGTGCACACCCCGCGTGTGTGTGTGTGTGCACAGCACCATGCCTGTGGTGCACGCGGGCTGGCGCCCCCCCACCTGGCCCCCGCCCCGAGCTCCACCAGCGACCCCCCTTCGGTGCGCAAAAAGGCGATGCTGGTGGGGGGGACAACCGACTCCCGCAGGCTGGGCGGCAGGCCGTCGAGGGAGAGGGCGGCGGGCGGCGGGCCGGGGTCGGGCCGGCGTCGGCTGCCGCTGGATCGTGAGGAAAGCGCGGCCAGCTCGGCCGCCAGCTCAGCCAGCCCCACCGCGCTCTCCCCGCTGGCCCCGGGCTTGGGGGCGGGGGAGGGCAAGGGCCGGGTGAAGGCGGCGGGCGGCTGCTGCAGGTCCGCCAAGCTCGGGCCGGCTGACGAGCGGCGGCTCGTCGCTGCGGGCGAGCCAGATGCAGCCGGCGCTGCCAGCGGCGGCGTTGTGGGTGTGCGGCCGCCTGCAGCCTGAGGCGCGGAGCCGCGCGCCGCAGCCATCTCGACCGCTGCCTGTACCGCTGGTACCGCCTCAGCTGGCGGGCCAGGCTGCAGCCGCAGCTGCATCTGCAGCTGCCCGCTGATGGTACCGATGCCTGCCAAGGGGTTTGAGTGCCCTGGCGAGGAAGCTGGCTCGCTGGCGGTGCCGCAGCCGCCCTCCTCCACCTTGCCGCCACCCGGTGCCGCCACCAGCAGGCGGCGGCGCCGGCGCCGGCGGCGCAGCGCCCAGGCCGCCGCGCCGGCGGCGGCCGCCGCCAAGGCCGCGCCCACCGCTGCGCCTGCTGCGGCACCAGGGGGCAGCCCGCCGCGGGAGGTGGGCTGGTAGGCGACGGTACCATCCACGCTGCTGGTAGTACCATTGTGGGGGTGGTCCCGCAGGTACAGCACGGCGCTCGGGGTCAGGATGATGGCGGCTGGATCGGCAGAGTGCTTGAAGATCGCCACCCCCTCAGGAGTGTTGTACACGCCGGCTGCGGGAGGACAGGGAGGGCGAGAGCGCAGGGCGAGGCGCGGCCGGGGCGGCGGCTGGATGGCAAGCAAGCAAGTCACCGAGGCGCGCAAGTGGAGGGCAAGGCAGCTACGCTGCGCTGGCAGAAGAGCAGTACATCAGGCCGTGCACACCTGGGCGGTACACAAAGGACTGACACTGGGAGTCGTTCTGGCAGTACCGTGCCAGCCCCTCCAGCGAATCCTGCAGCACACACTCCTGGATCTGGGGTCTGCAGTACAGGAGGGCGATACAGGAAGGCAGCAAATGCTGAAAGCTCACGTTCACAGGCAGACGTGAACACAGCTGCATTTCCAGGGTGCAGCCGGCGCAGCGGCTGCGGAGCCGAGCCGCCAGCGCCGCCTGCGCGGCCTGCCCCGATTGGACGCGCAGGCACACCCGCAGTGCCACGCCCCCAGCCCTGCAGGCTTTGCCAGAGCACCCACTCACTTGTATGATCCTGGGCAGTCGAAGCCGCCGCTGGCAAACATGCCCGCCCCCAGCCGACGGGTGAACCCGGGCAGCTGGGGGCCCGTAGTGGCCAGCGGGGAGCCTGCGGCCGACGGGAGGGAAGGCGGGACGCCAGGGGAGGGAGGGAGGGTGGGTGGCANGA